TATTCTCTTGTTGAAGTGTTCTGTTTTGGAGATTAACCTGATTCCTTCAAAATTAATTTCATGCCCTGTAGCTTTAAGGTGCTGGAAATATATATATAACTTCCTGTCAGGCCAGGAACTATAGAAAATGAAAAGATATATATATAAGCAAAAAACAAGATGGCGGTACCTATGGCGCCGCCGATAGAACCGGTTTGGGCGCATGTCCAGCCGAGTTACTGCCTATTCAGCTGAACCAATCCGAACTGATAAGAACCCACCTCTGCTTCTAACCTACCAGATACATCCTGAAAGCAGAGGTGGGCTTCCCATAATTTAACAACCAGTTCGCCTACGGCAGTATCGAAAATGTGAGTGCATGTGCGCTTTGCTTGCATGGGAGCCTTCCATGCTTAAACACATGGCAATTTCATGTGTGCGGCTTCCAGAACACCTTCTTGGGCAGCCGTGGTGCATAGAAGCGGGCGAGGCATGGACATCAGCTAGGCTGTGTGGGCGGGGTGGGCGAGCCAGAGAATGAGATATATAGGACGGGATAGCACCGGGGGGAGGGTGGGTGGGTCCAGCCAGTGGTCGGAACTACTGGTTCGCCCAAACCAGTACGAACCGGCAGCAGCCCACCTCTGCCCGAGAGTTATATCTCTTTTGATATATGACTCTTAAATCTAAATACATCAGATACAATTTGTCTTTAAGACTGCTTAAGCCACGGGACATAAAATCCTGTTTACAGAATTTATGCCGATTGGTCCTACGGGGACTATTTAATCGGCTTGAGAAGTTTGTGTTGCTTATTTTTTTTTTGTAATAATTATTTGTCTTAGAAATTTTGAAATATAAACAGTTTTGGAAATGTTGGCACCAAAGGGGTCGTAAATCAACGAATTCAATGGTCAAACAGCAAACCATCTTTTGATCCAGAGTGTTTTAAGTATGTGACACAACTGCCAAAAACGAAAACAAAATATTTTAGAAGAGCCCTACAAAGGTCATGTTGGACATTTTTAAGGCATTCTGCAACCATATATAAATATACTGGGGGGGGGGGGGAGAATACCAAAGAAGAGAGGCAGAAATGCACATTCATAGTATTTGAGGATTCCAAAACCAAGTTTGGGGTTATATAAACATTAGGCTCTTATACAGAGAGATATTAATTTTCTTATTTCTTCTTTTGCAACTAACCAAGATTTCTCTCATGCCAAAGAAAACAACATGATTGCTTCATGACCCTTTCCTCTCCCCCCCACCCACCCCAGTCTTATCAAACAAAATCGCAGTCACACCATATATTAAGAGAGATTCTACTTGACTTAACATCTGCAAACGCTAGATGGAATAACTTTTCCCGTAGGCTTTGGAAAAATATTTCATCGAGTCTTGGTGTGTAAGAAAAAAGGAAGGGGAGGAAAAAACGTGGAGGCAAAATAATTGGGAGTCTACTGCTCTCTACTCTTCTGGAGCAAATCTGAAAAAAGGGATAGTCAACATGTCACTAATGTATCACTTCCTTCAATTAATGAGAATCAGCCCACCAAATGTCCTTAAACAGCCCCTCCCTTTCTTCCTCGTTGGCTTCGCTCCCGGTGGCTCCAGCAACGCTATATTGCCAAGAGACGGCAAACGCCGGTACCCACCGTCCATCTGGTGCCTTTTACAAGTAGAAAAATAACAAAGCCGATGACCACACAATCATAGATTGGGAGAAGGCTATTGAGGTCACCAAGGACATTCCTGTGGTCAGTGCAGGAATGTTAAATAAATAATCTCTCCCAGATAGCTCCCCAGAGGGTTCTTGACTCCATCCAGTAGAGGAGAAACCACCATTTCTTTCGTAACGGCACCAAGCTATTCTTACCGTCAGAAGACATCTACATCCTGAATCCTAGAATGACACGAGATCTGAACCAGAGGTGATATTCAGGCAGTTCTGACAGGTTCCGGAGAACCGGTAGCGGAAATTTTGAGTAGTTCGGAGAACCGGCAAATAGGTTGGCCTTGCCCCCCACTTCCCCCCAGCCGATCTTCTTTTGTTGACCCGAACAGGAGAACGGAGCTGGAAAGCAGGTTAGTGGGGTGGGGAGAGAATGGGGATTTTGCAGTATCCTTCCCCTGTCACACCCAGAAAGCCACACCATGCCCACAGAACTGGTAGATGAAAAAATTGAATCCCACCACTGATCTGAACGTTCTTCTATGGGATAGTTATCACACCATCTCCCATCCTTCTCTTCTCCAGAGAAGCCAGGTGGAAAAGGAAGACATAATCTGAGAGCTGTGATGTCTATGTTGCTGGCTGATTATAATCATGGGCAGCAACAGTTACAAGAGAATTTAATTTAACAATTCACTTCTTTCTTTCAGGATGTCGGAGTGTCGGACCAATCATTTGGGAGGGGGGTAGGAAAAGACCATTCCTGGATAACCGTTGGCAATTCTGTTTAAAATGACTTTGCCTAATTCTTCCAATGAGAACTGAATCCCCATTTGCCTAATTCACCAATATGAAACCAAAAGAAGGAATGTTCCTTCTTAACGACGGTTGTACGGCATGCTTTAGAACAAGCCCATCCACAACTCGCTTAGGTGAAAGCCAGAAAGCCAGGTGTAACTAACAGTTGTCCTAATAACACAAAAAAGGGGCCACTGATCTGGTTCCCTGGAATCAAATCACAGTTGATTGCAACAGCCAGAACATTTCCCCCCCCCCCAACATTGATTCTTTAAAGTCTTTGGCATAGACAGAAATGATAAATTGCTTCTGACATCACCAAACTGGCATGCTACTTACCATCCTGGGTGTTCTGGCTAAGAATCTTAGTGCGTAGCTCTGTGGGGTTAATTCCCAGGTTTCCCCCAATTTCTTCTAGGCTGTAAGGCTCAGGGTGAAACGCCTCTTCCACCACAGCCAGCATTTCCTCCAAGCTTAGCTCCAGCTTCCTTTGCACGTCTTGGAGTTTTGCCACCGCTCTCCAGTCTAGGCCTCTGGATTTTGCTAAAAGCTGAAACAAGCAAAGGATAAGTAGCTCTTTGGATGCAAAAACTAGGAACAGAAAGAAGTTAACCCAAACCTTTCTTCAAGAGAGCTTAGAAACCTCCTTAGTTTCTCTCGTGTTAAACTTATATTTGCCCACAAAGAAATCAGTTTCTTTCCTTGAAAAGAAAAGGCTTTACAAGAACTTTAAGGGATCGAGAATGGACTGTCATGCGACATTGGCCGCAAAGGTTTTGTTAGGCAAACTAGGGACGCGGTGGCTCAGTGGCTGAGCCTGTCGGTCAGAAAGGTCAGCAGTTCGACAATTCGAATCCCTAGTGCCCCGTAACGGAGTGAGCTCCCCTTACTTGTCCCAGCTTCTGCCAACCTAGCAGTTTGAAAGCACATAAGAAATGCAAGTAGAAAAATAGGGATCACTTTGGTGGGAAGGGAACAGGGTTCCATGCGCCTTCGGCATTTAGTCATGCCGGCAACATGACCTTGGAGATGTCTTCGGACAGCGCTGGCTCTTCAGCTTTGAAACGGAGATGAGCACCGCCCCCTAGAGTCGGGAATGACTAGCACATACTGTATGTGCGAGGCAGTGGTGGGTTTCAAAAAATTTTCGAACCTACTCTGTGGGTGTGGCCTCCTTTGTGGGAGTGGCTTGCTGGCCATGTGACCTGGTGGGAGTGGCTTGCCGGCCATGTGTTCTCCCTCTCTCTCTTTCTCTCTTTCCTTCCTTTTGTCTCTCTGTCCTTTTTTCCTTTTTTCCTTTCATCTCTCACTTTTTCTTTCTTTTTTTAATTTATTTCTTCCTTTCTTTCTGTTTCTCATTCTCTTTCTCTGTGTGAGTCTGTGTGTGTCTGTGTGTGTGTGTGTCAGTGGTGGGTTTCAAAAAATTTTGGAGCCTCTTCTGTAGGTGTGGCCTGCTTTCCTGGTCCACTGGTGGAACCTCTTCTAATCGGTTTGGTAGATTTGACGAACCGGTTCTACCGAACTGGTGCGAACTGGTAGGAACCCACCTCTGGTGCGAGGGGAACCTTTACCTTTTAAGGTAAATAAATAAAACATAAGGTTCAGTTTATATAACCCGAGTCCTATTACAAAAATGGGATCTCAAATGCTGCATGAAAGCTACAAACAGGGCATAAAGCTAAGCTAACATTTCCCTCTTATTTATCCTTTAGCATTCAGAGATACACAAGCCATTTCCTGCGGCTGCCTAGATAAATGTTAATAGACTTCCCTTCAGTTAATTCTCTCGTTGTTTGACAGTCCATCTAATCTACCGACTCAGTGATAACCTTGAATGTGGCTTAATCTCAGCTCAATTCTTCTCGCGCAGCCTTCTCAGACTGATGGATTTGAAGTGCCACAAAAGTGCATGGACTGAATTCCTTTGGGCCATCATCTACTCAGAAAGCAAAGGTCTTTAAGGACCACTGTTGAAAGAAATAGGAACTTTATCAAACCCTTGTCCAGACAGAATTTCCTCCTCGCATTAACAAGCCAGAGGAAAGCATCATTAGGGATTTTCCTATCTCGCGCATGAGAACATTGCAGGCGACTACGGTGAAAAAGATTGGACGTTTTCTTGGCTCTATTAGCCGGCCAGGCAGAGTGGAGATCCCTGATGCTCAAGGCTTTCTGCCAATGAATCTTGAAAGGAATATTCCAGCAGCTGCTGGGTTTATGTATCCTGAGAATGGTAGGTTATTTCTGGAATGATTATTTCTGCCCGGGTTAATTTTGATCTAACTTGGGGCAACTGTGCCAGCTCTTTCCTAAGAGGTTCTACTTGGTGTGGAAGAAAATCAGCCAACCAGACTACAAATGTTTTTTGCAGAGTCACCGCCAACACAGCCCACCCCAAACCATAAAGAGTACAGGTGGTCCTTGACTTACAACACTTCCTTTAGCGACCGAAGTTACAATAGCACTGAAAAAAAGTGACTAATGGCCATTTTTTTCCACACAATCCTTGCAGCTTCCCCTCTGGCCCCATGATCACAACAAACATGTCGCTAACTCAACAACTGCAGCGATTCACTTAACCATCGGGGCAAGGAAGGTCATAAAATGGGGCAAAACTCAGCTAAGAGCCGTGGTGGCGCAGTGGTGAGAGTGCAGTACTGCAGGCTGCTTCTGCTGCCTGCCGGCTGCCTGCAATTTGGCAGTTCAAATCTCACCAGCCTCAAGGTTGACTCGTCCTTCCATCCTTCCAATGTAGGTAAAACGAGGACCCAAATTTTGGGGGGCAACATGCTGACTCTGTAAACCTTAGAGAGGGCTGGAAAGCAATATGGGGACATATATAAGTCTAAGTACTATGGCTATTAACAACTGTCTCACTTAGCAAAAGAAATTTTGGGATCAATTGTGGCCATAGATCAAGGACTACCTATATGTGAATTTCCCCAAATGTGAGCTGAGGTCAGGAGAAGAGGCTGTTACCATAGCAAAAACCCTAGCTGTTGTGGCCTGGCAGCAGAGTCAGACAGTGAGGAGGTTGGGGAGGAACATGGGCCAGTCCTGGAGCCTGGGGAAGGCTCGGACGAGGGCTCCGTGTCAGAGGCAGAGAGGAGGCCAGGGCCATATGCCAGTTATTGGCTGCCTTCAAAGTTTAGACATCAGTGAGGCAGAAGAACAGCTGGAGCCTGTTCCCAGTATGCACATGCACAGAGTTGCCAGAGCTGAAGAACAGGGGTCAACTTGGGAGTAAGGCCACAGGTGGACGCTGAATGGCCCCTCCCAGAGGAAATAAAAGAGGAGCGAAAGGGAGTGGAGTTTGCAGGAGACAATCAGTTCGCTTAATTGGTTTGTGACTCTCCAAGACTCCTTGTTTTGCAGATATCGGCCTGGCAGCTCTCCAAGCCAGATAAGGTCTGTGACTATAAATCCTCCTTTGAAAGACTTTGCTGGATGTGAATGAGCAGAATTCACAGTAAAATTAATAAAAGGGGATTTTGTTGGGACCAGGAGTTTGCTTCATGCTCTCGGGAAGCCTCAGTCAGAACACTAGCTTTCCTGCACCATCAGGGCACATAGAGCATCACCAGGGAGGCAGCTAGGAGTTCTTCGTTTCTAACCGAGGCCTCCAGCCTGCTTAAGTTAGACCTTCTGGCCTGGATTTCAGGCAGGGCATGTGGGTGGCTTAATTTGCAGC